AGAAGGTTGTGCAGCAGAAGAATCTCAAAGCAGTCCAAACACAGAAATTAACATTGATGAAATTGAAGATTTCCTTGCAAAGCTGAAGGAGACTGTAGAAGAATCTTCTGCGAAAAAAGACGACAAAGGAAAAACAAGGTATGAAGGCCCCATAACATAAATTATTGGGGTAATAAAGACAACTTTACTAAAGTAACGGGCCCCTCCATTATTGAAGAGAATCTAGTTTTATAAAGTAGTTTGTCCAGTTATATTTATATAGAATTTTTTTTCATCTTGTCGGCCATCATTGTAATTATTTTGTCGGCCAATTTACTGTTTTAGTTTTGTTTGTTTTTGATAGAGATCCATTATATAAGGATCTTCATTTCCTTTGGAGAAGCTGACATTAGCCAACGCTGTGACTTCTCTCTAGATTCTCTCTCTACTCCTGTAAAAACTTTGTAATATTTTGAATTTGAAATAAAAATCAAAAAGGTCATTTGGCCACAAAACAGACGGTCTCTGGTTCTATTCTACTCCCTCCTCCTTCTATATTTGCAATACTGTTAGCCTAAATGATAGGCTAAACAGGTAAGTGTTAAACTTAGTATTCGAGGGTTTTTACTAAGCATGTTTTTATAGCTAGGAGTTTACTGTGTCATTCCGATGAGGTTATATAGACCAGGCGGTTACCAATTTCGACAGTAAACCTTAGCTAGGCCAACCTAACCGGTGGTGCTCAGTTGGACCAGTTTAGGCAAAGTGACCGTTGAAGGGTTGTGAGGACCACCGTGGTTTAAGATTTACATGGAGGTTAGTAGCTAGCCAGGGCTGAAGTTCTTGTATTCTATTTCTCGAACCTGATTCGGAAGCGATCCCGTAACCCCTATTATTATTATTATTATTATTATTATTATTATTATTATTATTATTATTATTATTATTATTATTATTATTATTTTACCTAAAGGTTAGTAGCTAGCCAGGATTGAAGTTCTTGTAATCTATTTCCCGAACCTCATTTGGAAGCGATCCCGTAACCCTTATTATTATTATTATTATTATTATTATTATTATTATTATTATTATTATTATTATTATTATTATTATTATTATTATATAGTTTTTCATAATCGCAATATCCTCAATTAAGTCCAAAAAGATGGTCTAGTACTGTAGTAAGAAATAGTGCCACATGTGATATATATATACTTAGTAAAATTATGTATTCATGCACTATTACTTTATCGGCCCTCAATATATCATAAAGACATATAACAGATGCACCTCTTGGGCGAACCAGTTTTTGCCTCAAAATTACGTATTATCGAATTGCATCATATACAAAAAATAGATGCCCTTTTGGATAAACCAATTTTTATCTCAAGATACAGTATTATCGAAAATGCATCCTCTCTATATATAGAGCAATTAAAGTTACATATAATTGTATGTCTGAAAAATTCATCGGTGAACCTCATTTCACCTCAAGATACTATGATGTGACTAATAAATATTATGAATAGAAATAATGATCATCATAAATATAAAATATAAGAATAAATACACATTTTATTCATAAAATATATATTCACAGCCACAAAATATTAAGAACTCCCACTAAATAAAAGAATTAAAAGACTTCCCGACATATATAACGTGACATTTAAAATTAATGGATCTAAGACCTTTAATTTGTGGATCAACTAGCATTTACTCTGTAGGAATACTTTGAACAATAATCTTTCCTTGCAATGCCAACTCTCCTAACTGTTAAACACTTGATTTGTATGTGTTTTGTTCCACTATACAACTTATTATTCTTAGAAAAGAATACGGGTGGACTATTATCATAATAGATTACAATGGATCTATGAATTGACTTAACAACTTTGAGTTCTATAATAAAATTCTGGAGCCAAACAGTTTGAGTGGATACACTATAACAAGCCACGAACTCAGTATACATTATTGTGATGACCCAAAAGGTCATCTTCTGTTTTAGAACTCGAATCCGTGTTCGGAGACCTTAAAAACCTCATTCTATCCCTCCTCGATTTGCGTGCGCAGTCCGAGCGCGATTCCGGAAAGCCTTTATGTGGAAATTTGAGAATATAATAATTTTGCCTTTAAAAGTTGATTTTTGTTGACTTCGATCAACATTTTAAGTAAACGGACCCGGACCCGTATCTTGACGGTCCTGGAGGTTCCGTAGTAAAGTATAGAACCTGGGCATATTCTCGGAATCGAATTCTGAAGTTCCAAGCTGGAGAAATAAATTTTTAATAAAAAATTGTTAAACTGAAATTGCAAAGGTTTTGAGAAACTAAATAATGTGTGATCTCGTTGGTATCGGGCTAGTATTTTATTTTCGGAGCTCGATACAGGTTTAATATGATATTTAAGTCATGTCCGTAAAATTTGGTGAAAACGGAGTTTAATTGACGTGATTCGGACCTTTGATTGAAAAAAAATAAAAGTTTTGAAACTATCTTGAAAATTTAATGCAATTTGGTGCTAAATTCATAGTTCTAGGTGTTATTTTGGCAATTTGATCGCATAAGCAAGTTTGTATGATATTTTAAGACTTGTGTGCATGTTTAGTTGGGAGCCCCGAGGGCTCGGGTGAGTTTTGAATACGCTACGGAGTGATTTTGGAACTTATAAAAATTTGCAGGTGTAACTAGTGTCTGTAGCAGGCCTCTGATTTTGCAATTGCGTGATAAGGCTTCGCAATGCGAACCAAGCAGGCATAGCAATTGCGAGAAATTTATCGCAATTGCGAAGAAAGTTTGGGCTAGCAGAGTTTGCAAATGCGAACAAATCTTTGCAATTTCGAATGAGGTCTGGGGAAGGGCATCTTCTATTGCATCAACGGTGGAAATGGTTTCGCAAATACGAACATTTACTCGCATTTGCGAGGGATACAGAGATCGTAAATGCGATACTTTCCTCGCAATTGCGATGGCAACAAGACTGTGAAGGGCTTCACATTTGCGATAGCTTCTTCGCATTTGCGAGCTTCGCAATAGCGAAGCTTAGGTTGCAATTGCGATATCTGCAGCTGAGTAAAAGGGTCTTAGACGGGATTTTTCATTCGTTCTGCCATTTTTCAAAACCTAAACTTCAAGAGGCGATTTTCCAAAGGCTTGTTCTTCCCCAAATCATAGGTAAATGATTTTTAACTCATTTCTTTCAATCTTTTACTTCTTTTCACAAGATTTCATCCTAGAATCTAGGGTGTTTGATGGTGGAATTGAGTGTTTTTGGGTAGAACTTAGGGATTTTGAAATTTGGTGATTAGACCTCAAATTGAGGTCGAATTCCAAAACTAATTGTATATCCGGGCTCGGGGGTGAATGGGTAAGGTTTTTGTCCGAATTTCGAGTTTTGACCAAGCAGGCCCGGGGTCAGTTTTTGATTTTTTGAGAAAAATGTTAGGGAATCTATAATTATGCATTGGAATTGATTTATTTAGCGTTAATTCATGTTATTAAGTTTATTATGACTAGATATGAGTGGATTGGAGGTGGAATCGAGAGGTAAAGCGGTAATTGAGCTATGAATTGCCCGTTGGCTTGAGGTAAGTGTTTGGTCTAACTTTGACTTGAGGGATTAGAGATTCCCGACTTAATTGCTATGTGAAATTTCATGTGTGTGGCGTATATGTATGGTGACGAGTACCTATGCACCGCCAAATTATCTGTTTAGCCTGTTTCCTTCCCCGTTCTTAATATATTGTTTTTCTGTCTTAACTGTTACGTGCTTATTGATGTTTCCATGTCTAATTGCTTATTAAATGTTGTTTTCTCTATTGAAGGTATCAATTGTTCCTTAGTATCATTACACTACATTGTTGGTTTTAGTTGGTTTTATTAGTGCTTCATGGTACACTTTGGTTGGTCTCGTAGTGTAGTATTTAACTGATGAAGTTTCATAATGGTATAGATTTCCCGTTGTGTTGGTTTGAGATATAAATGTTGTGGAGGGTTTTGATCTAACTTGTGAAATACTTGTTCTTATTTTGTGATTGGTACTGATATGGTGGGATCGGGTTGCACGCCGCAACAAGAGGATTAAGGATGAAATGTGATTGTCCGGTGGGATCGGGTTGCGCGCCGCAACAAGGTGTAATAAGGGTGGACAGATGGGATCTAGTTGCGCGTCACAAAAGAAGGAATAAGGGTGATATTTATTGAGGAGTAATAAAGGTGGACTGGTGGGATCGGGTTGCACGTCGCAACAAGGAGTAATAGGGGTGAACGTTCATATTTTCACTTCTTATATGGTGGGATCGGAATGCGTGCCGCATCATTTTATTGTTTATGTATTCTCCCTCTGCTGTGATTTTATTCTGTGGTATTGTAATTCTCTTAAGAACTGGTTATAGTTGAGTACTGGCAAAATATCTGGGTTCCGTATTTACATGATGCAAGTTACTCTTTTACTTCGTTCTGCACTTCCTTTTTTTTGGTCGAAAGAAAAAACTTTATTTCAACCTTTTTGTCAATTTACATCATCTGTTCTTGTGGACTATAGAACAGATCTCATAAGTACAACCAAATAAAAACAATTATACAACTAGTATTATTTAGCAAAATCCTAACACTATATAGACTCTTTCTGTCATATGTGTCATGGATTACATATAGGATAACTATTGAACGACTGCAGAATAGGTAAGTATTGGGGTTTCTTCTGTCCAGCAACATGCACTTGAAGAGCAATTTCCTTTGCTCTGTCTTTGGCCTCTCTGCTCTGCTGTTGAAATCTTCTTTCATTTCGCTCCATCCAAATGTTGTAAACTACTGTTGCAAATACCACTCCTAGCAGTGCCTTTCTTGGATTCCTGTTATTTACATTAGCAATTAGCCATTGCACTTTTGTTTCCCAGTTACCAGTTGTCCTTTGATATTCTAGTCATCTTAATATTCCTTTCCATAGACACTGTGAGTATGAACATTCGAAGTACAAGTGGTCATGTGTCTCTTATATATCTCTTCCAAACAATGTACTGACTAATCTATTTGAACTCCCCATTTGGTTAATCTGTCAACTGTAGCCAGTCTTCTATGCATTGCCATCCATAAAATGTACTTCTGTTTTGGTAGCATTCCAGTTACCATAACTAGTGTTTTCCATTGGACTTTGGGATACTGTGGAGTAGTATGAAGGTAAGCCTTCCTAATACTGAACTTCCCATTCTTAGTGCAGGTTTGAATTTTTGTAATATCATTTGCCCACCACTCGCTTGCTACAAACAGCTTCCTTACTAGCCAACTAGCTTGCTTAGGGGTCTCCATAGTAGCAATGTCTTTCTTCTTTATGTAGTGGCAGTGAATCCACTTGATCCATAGCTTGTCTTTCTTAGACATTATAGCCCAAAGAAGCTTAATCAAGGCAGCTTTATTCCATCTCTCATAATTGACCATGTTCAAACCTCCAACAGTTTTTGGTTTACATAAAGTCTCCCATGCTATAGGAGCCCTATGAGTAGTATCATGACTACCAGTCCACAGGTAATTCCTGCATATACCATTTACCAGTTTAATAACCTTTTTTGGAATAAGAAATACTTGAGCCCAGTAAGTCTGCATTTCAAACAATACACTCTTGATGAGTTATAATCTTCTAGCATAGGATACAAACTTGGATGTACAGCTTCTAATTCTGTCCACTATCCTCTCCACTAATGGCATACATTGTGATATAGTAATTTTTCTTGTGGACAAAGGTACTCCCAAATATTTGAATGGAAAGCTGCCTTCTGCTAGGTGGAGAGTTTCCAGCATTTTTTCTTTGAATTCCCTGGGAATACCTGCTATGCACAATGAGCTTTTCTCCAAGTTTGCTTGAAGGCCTGAGACCTTTGAGAATTGATCAAACACCCCATCAGCATCTTCATTGAGACCTCATCAACTCTGCAACACATCAAGAGATCATCGGCAAAACAGATGTGTAGTACTTGCAATCTGGTGAATTTGGGGTGGAAGTTAAAATCTGGATTCTTAGTCAATGTCTTCAATGATCTGTTTAGATACTCCATGGCTAATACAAATAAGTAGGGGGACATTGGGTCCCCCTGCCTTAACCCTTTCTTTGCTTGAAACTTGTTGGTCAATCCTCCATTCAATAGCAGAGAGTAGCTTACTATAGAAATACACTCCATAATTAATGCTACCAGTTTGTATGGCACCCCAAATTCAAGCAGTACTGCTTTCAAAAAACTCCATTCAACTGAATCATAAACTTTCCTGATATCTACTTTGATCATGCATCTAGGAGACACTGTCTTTTGAGTATACCCTTTAATTAGTTCATGAGCCATAATAACATTATCAAGAATCTTCCTCCCTTCTATAAAAGCAGATTGTGAAGGTCCAACCAGAAAATCCACAACTAATTTAAGCCTATTTGTCAGAATCTTACCAATAATCTTGTACACTATTGAGCATCAAGCAATAAGCCTAAATTCTTTTACATAACTGGGGTTCTTCACTTTTGGAATCAGTGTATGCAATTTATTTCTTTCAGTAATCTACCATTTGAAAGAATTTTTACACTGCCTCTGTAATTTCCTTTCCAATAATTGACCAAAATTCTCTAAAATGTTTTGCAGGGTATCCATCTATGCCTGGTGCCTTGTCATTAGGTAAATTCTTTATTATCTGACAGATCTCCTCTTTTGTTACAGGTAGTAACAGTTGCTGTTGCTGGTCCACTGTTAAACAAGGACCATCTCTTGCTATATTGATATCAATCCCTGGTAATTGTTCTACTACTGTTCCTAATAGTTGCTGAAAGTATTATGTGAATTCTTGTTGAATCTGCTTTGGATCAATGATCTTCAGCTGATTTTCATTGTAGATACAACTCACCTTATTTCTTGCTTGTCTGGCCCTCATGTATGCATGAAAATATTTGGTATTGCAGTCTCCCAATTGGATCCACGTTGCTCTTGATTTCTGCCTCATTATTTGTTCTTGAATTGTTTCCCATTTTTCAATACTTTCTAGGGACTTCCTTTTTTCTTCAATCAACACTTTGTTGAAATAATCTTCATTCAGCTTTCCTTGGATCACTTTCAATTCTTTCCTCATTTGCTTTAGCTTATGAACAACTGATGAGTGCTCCTTTTGTATATCTCTAGTTTCTTATTCAAGCTGCTTCAGTTTACTCCAAATAGAATACATAGTGAATCCTTTGATATTTTGTCTCCAAATTCTCTGGACTGCTTCTTTTTACTCCCTTTGGTTCATCACTGTTGTTAATAACCTGTATGGCTTTCTCACTTTAACCTTTATTACCTTAGTGTCTAGCATTATAGGAGTGATCCGAACAACTAGGTAACATGTATACTGCCTCAATCCAAGTGTAAGAGTTAAACCACTCAGCATTGCCAAAAGCCCAATCTATATGGCTATAAACTCTGACCTTTGCATCCCTTTTGTTACTCCATGAAAATCTGCTTCCTCTTTTGGCGATTTGTCCCACTCCAATATCATCAATGCAGTCCTGAAAATCAGCCATTTCTGCTTGATGAACTGGCAGCCCATTTATCCTGTCATCCACACTTAAGACACTATTGAAATCTCCTATTATAAGCCAAGGTCCACTAAGTTGTATATTCCTCAAGCTCCTCCATAGTGATACTCTGTGTTGTATGGTGTGCAGGCCATATACAAATGTTATGTAGCTAGTAAATGTTGAGTTTTTGTCCTCCACCTGACAGTGAATCAATTGGTCTGTGCTTTCCAGAATTGCAATATGAACATTTGTTTCTTTCCACATTATCCATATCCTTCCATTAGGTGCATAGGCATAGTTGTCTTCTACTTTCCAATCTCCACCCATTTTCTTGTGAACATCCTTTGATTTTTGTTGTTTCACTCTAGTTTCTAAGCAAGCAATCATATCTACTTTATTTATCTGCAAGAATTTCTCTAATTCTCGCTGTTTATAGGACTTGTTCAGTCCTCTTATGTTCCAAGACACAATGATCATGGGGGATTATGATTACTGGAGGTGCATCCTTGGATCATTTAGCCTGATCCATTGCTGGATAATTGCTTATGTTGATTCATATCTGATGGCCTTTCCAGTATGGTCAGTACAACAAATACATTCCTTTTAGCTAATTCGTCATAATTGACCTCTCTATACTTTGCTTTGTTAATTGATCCTTGTACAATCACTGCTTGTTTCCCTCTATTATTCACTTGTACCTCCATGTTAGGATGATCTATTGGCTCATCTTTTTACTGAATGGTTGTAATCTCTTTAGCTACAACTTTTGGTTTCCATTCCATAGTGGTTTTCTTCTTTCTTCTCCTTATTTGTTTCCTTGGTCCCTTATTTGCTGCACATCTTTTTGACATTCACTAGTATTATGCCCAAATTTGTTATATTCTAGACCAAATTTCGGTTTCCATTCAAATTCCACACTCTGCATCCAAATTCTTCCATCTAGTATCTCAATATAGATCTCATCGGGCAATGGTTGAGTTATGTCCATTTCCACAAGGATTCGAGCATAAGAAATCCTTTCACATCCAGCAGTTAGTCTATCAGTGCATATAGGTTTTCCTAGTAGGCTAGCTATCCTACCTAGGTTTTCCTCAGCCCAACACTGAATTGGCAATCCATGTAAATTGACCCATATTGGAACAATTCTCATTGATTCATTATGTATTTGGAAGTTTGGATCCCAATCCTTCAATATCATATGTTTGCTATTGAACATGTAAGGACCATTTTGCATTATTAGGTTTTTGTCCTCAATAGATTCAAATTTAAAGATGAAATATCCGTCAGCATGTAGCAACACTGCTGGAGTTGTAACAGTATTCCAAACACCATAGATGAACTTAAGCATCTCCTTAAATGACGGATTGCCGCCCAGGACATAACCAATCAATGTTGTTCTCCACTTCTGGGCCTGCAATTCTACCTCCTTTGGATTTAATTTGGGAATTTTCACCCCATCTTTCACCATCGGAGGATAGAACTTGAGTTGCATGCCCTGAGTTTGCACTCTGTTACTGTCACACCTCCTTTTTCCTACCCCGGAAGGGTGTAAGAGAGTTTTTTCCAACTTAAAGTGACAATCGAAATGAGATTTATTTGTTTAAAGATTCAGAGTCACCACTTAGGATAATTTAGGGTGTCCCAAGTCACCGGTTCAAATCCCAAATCGTGGAAAGATTAACTCCGTTTTACAGTCCGCGAACACAGAAATCCGGGTAAGGAATTCTGTTAACCCGGGAGAAGGTGTTAGGCATTCCCGAGTTTCGTGGTTCTAGCATGGTCTCTTAACTATTATAATTGGCCTATTTACTGATTTTAACGCGTGTTTTAGTCTATAGTTCAATTTTAACTTATTAACCGCTTTTATTCATTTTAGGAAGATTGCAACGTTATTAAAACACGTCTTGAACCACGTCACATAAATGCACCCGCGATCTTCGACATATTTTATCTAACATTGTTGAGATTTGGATTTGGGTCACATAAATGCGCACCCGAGTTTAGGAAGGTAAATTATTAAAATAACGTGCCTAAAGCAACTACGCATTTTAACTTTGCGAGGGCCATGGGAAATTCAACTAAATGGCACACCTCGATTCCTAAGGATCAACATGAATTAAATGAGGGCCATGCATTTTAAGATTTTGTGTGGCACGACATACCTCGAGGGCCATGAATTATGCATTTGGCTAATATGGCACACCTCAACTAATTGATTATACTCATTAGGAAGATGCAAAGTTCTAGCTTAATCCAGTTATGAAATTAATCAAATCTTGACATTTAATCCAAAACCTAGTCATAATCATATGGCGAGGCAGTTGAAAAATTGATTACCCAAATTGTAAATAAGTTACGCAACAGCTAAACGGGATGCACAAATAGTGCACAGTACTGGGCTTGAAAGCAAGCCCGTTTCTCAAACGAGGGTCTATCACATGCCAATGCGAAGGGAAGTTTGTCCCTTTGGGCCTGACATCAAGCCCCGAACATGACGAGCCATACAAAAGAATTTAATTTTTGATTCTACTAATTAACCAGCGGACACCAATTTAAATAGATAACCTGTACGCAAATGTGACATTGAGGTTGAAACGACATTGACGTAACAAAAGACTCCATACAAGACTTGTTTAAATTACTTACATGTATGACATTGAAACTGAAATGAGAAATTAATTTAACAGAGGCCTCCTATTTGAGATCAAAAGACTCAAACATTAAACTGATTTAACAGAAAGCCAACACCTCTATTATTCATGATTCCCTTATTATACCAACTTCCACATGGATTTAGTATTATTTCACCAAAACCTTGGCTCATTTGAAGAAACAACTAACTGGTAAATGCAATGAACAAATCAACACATGAATTCAGAATCCTTTGCCAATAGTGCCAAAACTTCAATGCAAGCAGATTATTGAGAGAATACTTGACTAGAGTAACCCCTAGTATGCTCAACACCAACTAAGCCCAACTAATATTCTCAAGGAAATCTACATGACATATGTAACTACAGATCAAAGTTCTTATTCATCCATCAGAACTTTTACAACTAAAGCACCTAATTAATCCTCATAAGAGCAGAATTTCAAACCATCTAATACCAACACCATAATTATAGTTTCTGTCCAGATTTACCAACTAAACTTAAATAAAATCATACTAAATACATGAACATATCCAAAGAAGCTAATAACACAAAACTACAACATGAATTATCATTCATTAGACATCAAAGTCTTGAATTGCATATCAATTATAAAGGCTTGTCTTGTTGCACTTCACATGTTAAAGAGATCCATGGAATACCTGGTGAAATTAAAGCAAAGGACAGTGAGAAAATCAGCAGCAGAAGAGGATGAGATTCAACAAATCAACAACAACAGTTTCAGCTTGATCAAACCATTTTGATCCTAGAAAGAGTCAATATTATTTCAATATTTTAAGAAACCCAAAGAAAACAAACACAACTTCAATGAAACAGTGTTGATGGTGCCTTTTTTGTATTTTTCTCCTAATTTTTCAGACCTTTTTAGTGTTTTGTAGTCTTTCTTAGCTGTTTTTGATTTCTTCCAAATCTAATCCCCTATTTTATCTGACTTGAATGCCAAGAAATGATGCCTTTATAGGCAAGATGTTAGGGCAGCAGAAATAAACCATATTTTTCACTTAAAACCTTCAGATATTTTCATTCTAGCTTAGACACCCCTGATGTAAATTCCAGAAATTTAAAATAGTCCCAAACCTCTTTCCTGGAAGCTTCCTATTCAGTTACTACAGATTCCGTCACCTAGATTTCCTAATTTGACCCTTGAAACTCTGTTAATTACCCTTAGAAAATTTATGGGTCAATTCGACCCAAAGACTCAAACTAGCCTGATTCTAACAAGACCTGGGCTAATACCTTTTCTTTGGGCCCAAGTCTAAATCAGAAATTCAGAAGAAACGAGAAGGCAGAAAAAGGGGCAATTCGGATTTCAATCAAACCTCATGAACCAAATGCTCTCAAACGGCCCAAAACTAAAGAGAACAATCAAACAAATTAACCTAACGAATTCAAACAAAACTGAAGAAGCTAATAACTAACATTAATTCTAACTTAAAAGAAACATATACAAAGATAAATTTTGAGAACACAGAAGAAAAAGAAGGATAATAGAAGAAAATAAGAAACACGAAAAAGAGAAAATACTAGGAAATACCTATCAGGCTAGGCAGAAATGAGTCTCGAACTAATCTTCAAAGAAACTTTAATTCTTTTGCCGAGATAGACCTTAATCGTGCGTTCTCGACTGAAAACACACGACTAAAGTCGATTCCAACCTCAAATCTTTTTAAAAACCTTGCCAATTTGATTTTTGGGATTTTAAGGTTCAAGCTTTGATCTAATATTCGACGCGTTCTATGAGGATTCGAGGGAAAAGAAGTGAAGATTTGGAATGAGGAGATGAAGGGGAGTTTGGGGTGTTGATTTTGTGAGTATTGGGGTGGTTTATGGTGTCGCCGCCACTGGAGATGAAGGTGAGTATCTAAGGGCGGTGGTTTCTCTAGGGTTCAAGGTTAGAGACGAAGGGGAGGGGGAGGGTCTGGTGGGGTGGGCTATTTCGGACAGTTAAATAGAGACAAGATGGTCAGTTCTAGACTGTCAGATTAAACGAAATCAACGGTCGGATCCTACCTGCATAGAACGACGTCATTTGGGTCTGGGGAATCTGGACCGGGTATGTGATGGACTTGGGCTGGGTCTGGAACGTGTTTGGGGAAGAATTATTTGGGCTGGTACGTGATGGACTTGGGCTAAATGCAAAAAATGAGTTACCTTTTTGTGATTTTTCTTTTTTTTGTAACACAATTAAATTACTAATTAATTTAAAAAAAATGCAGAACTAAATCCTAAATGCAAATGCAATGTATTTTTTTGTATTTTCATGAATTAGATAAAATAAACATGCACATACAAATGCAAACAATTAACAAAAATGCTACAAAAATCCACAAAATTGCAAACAACGGAAAATATTATTTTGTTTTGAATTTGTGGGAGTAATTCATATAGGGCAAAAATTTCGTGCTCACAGCTGCCCCTCTTTGCTCGGAAACACGAAGAGTTTTCGTGCACAGATAAAGTGAGCGGATACGAGCGATTTTTGCTCGTTTGAATACTTCGTGGGAAGCATTTTTGAAATATTTGACCTCACCCTGCTTCCGAGGTTACCTACATATCCTTGGCTATAAAGGAATCAGGTCAGTGTAGTTCGGAAAGTTTTGGTAGCTGGGACTACTATGAAGCTGTGATTTCACTATTGCTGTTGCTAATTCTTACTGAACCCCTTATTACACCATGCCAAAATAAAAGAAGCTAGACTAAACTATGATCTATGCA